ACCCCGGTACCCGTACCAATCTTTCGGCTAGAGCCCCCCCGGGGAGGATAAAAAAGCTACGACCCCCCCGCCCCCCTCTCCCCCCCCTCTCTCTCTCCCTCTACTACAAAGTTTACAGGGGTTCCCCCTCCGGGGACCCAGGATCATCACCCAAGGAAAAAAACGGAAGGGGGAGGGACGGACTAATACCACCTACTCGTGCGGTCTACCTACCACAGCCTCCTCCTCCATTTCGGACATGATGACAGAATTGGCAATATGCCGTCGGACCGCTACAAAAAGGAAGAAAAAGAAAAAAAGGAGAAGAAAAAAAAAAAAAGAGTTCGCAAGGTAGGCACCAAGAAGATGAGGCATTGAATTGCTCCGTACCAGTAGTATTTCTCCATTTCCATACTCTGTCTCATGTGAAAATGATCTTCCATCCCCCTCCCTCCCCCTCCCCCCCCCTTTCTTCTCTCCCTCCCTCTCCCTCTCTCTCTCTCTCTCTCTCTCTCTCTCTTGTCTTGTCCAAAAAAAAAAAAAAAAAAAACTACCCGTACTCTTAGGCGGTTTCCCCCCCGCCCCGCCTTCTTTCCTTTCATAATTGCGGCTGGTTTCCTACCCGTCTCATTAGGGGGCCCTCCTCCGTGCGAATGGCCAATATGAGATGCTCCTAGTCCCCTAGAAGGTTATCCTCGCTTACTAAGGCCACAGCTGCTAGTCAACCAACCCCAACCCCTACTCTCGGCTAAGCCAAAACTCGGGAGGGCCCTTTTATTTTATTTTAATATTTTAATAATTTTTTTTTTGGCGGCTCACAGACCAACTTGCCACGCTTGTCACTTATTACCAGCACCCGTACAGCTTCGAATGACACCCTCTGCTACGTATATATCCTTGTGCGCGCGCACGCATCTCCTCGTATGGAGAGCATGGATCTCATCGCAGCCTGCTCTCGCTCTCGCTCTCCCTCCTCCTTCGCCTACCCTACCTTCACTCCTACCCGGCTTTCCGGTTAGAGTATTACTCGTCGTACGGCAACGTGGCAAGGGAGATGGGAGGGAGGGAGGACTAGTGCTCGTACATGTACGAGTACAGATGACAGATTACATAGAGTACAGATTACCTAATATCATACTACAGGTTACAGGCATCGGGATGAAGAGGAGGACGACGAGGTGGGGTGTGCGGGACAACGTATCGGCCGCAAAGAATATCATCTGTCATATTGGCAACGGAGTTAATACTCGGAACTCGTGCCATGTGCTGTCACCTTTCCCCCCCCCCTTCCCTTTCTTTTCCCTCCCGAGTCTGCCATGACTCTGATATATTAATTTAGTACGTGGGTCATGGGCCAAACACCCTCCACATTTCAGGTACGCCGCACGACTACCTTGTATGACAGGGAATCTTGCATACGTATCGTATCGTCTATGCTCACGTCACCCTGACAGTCAAGAAGCAGACACTTGTTACGGCAGTACTCCGTACAGCAGCCAGTATTGATACTCTGTATTACCCGTAATTACCTGGAAGGTGAACCGCATCGAGTGCTACCGCATGCCGTTCTCTCTCCCCCTTCCCCCCTCCTCGCGTGCGAGGCAGCAATTGGTACCCGGAGACAGAACAGGAGAAGTAACTTGACATATCCGCGTCTTCATACATCGTACATCGTCGTACGGCGCTTCTGGCGACAACCTTGACCGTGAAAGAACAGGACTGGGATTATGCGTCGGTGACAGGGGAGAGGTGTGGGTATCTCGCCATGACCCATGGACATGGGCGTACGACGTAAAATGGTGCTTGACGACCAGTTCGCCGAACACATGCTTGCTTCCTGACATGCGACGTATTATTAGCCATGACCCATTACCGCTCTTTCTCTCAGGTGGAACCAGGGCCGGCCATCGTGCCAAGGATGGAGCCATGTCTTTCTCGGGGGAGTTCAATCCTTGTTCAGGACAGACTGGTGGTCGAAGGCGAAAAGCATGTGACGAACGACTTCATACTGAAAATCAACAATTCATGTCAGCCGCAGCCATCAGCCCTTGCCATCTCCCAGCAAGGCAGCAATTGATATCCCCATGCCATCAGCGCCGCCGGCTGCTTACATATCCGTATGCGTAATCAGCGCCGGGGCAAACACGACATACAAACAAGGCTTGACAGGGGTTTCATTAAAGAAGAAGACAGGGAAAGGGAAAGGGAGAGAGAGAGAGAGAGAGAGAAAGCTCGCTCGACAGGGTGCCGCGAGGGTCTGCACAATCGAACCAGTTGCGCCACGAGGGGAGGCCCAGCTGCAAACACTATAATCCTGCCCCTAGCCGGGGGAAGGCAAACGGAGCAAGGCAACGCTGAGTGACGTCGGACAGACAGACAGACTTCATTCATACCGACACGCGCCTCTCTGACACGTACACGTACGTGTCGCAGCATGATTGACAGGACGACACCCGTCGTCCGAGGTGCCGTCGTTTCAACGTGGGTAGCCTTTTATTTGCCAAATGTCGAGAGGCTTAGCGCATGCCACCGACACCCGTCAAATCTCTCTGACTGCACCCCGTACTCTATACAGTACCTGCAGCCACAGCGTCAAGCCATCATCGTTTCGGGTCCGGCCTTTTCTCTCCGTCCTCTCGCCCTCTGCTCAAGTCCACAGGCTCCTGGAGTGGCACGATATGCGGCCAGGAAGAAGGATGGCTGATGGGTCAAGAGTCGGGGGCGGACGGCCTTGGCTCGAAAGCCGTACTCATGAGAGCATGCGGCGAGGAAAATCTCACCGGCCGACCTGGCGGAATGTCACTAGCGGCATGACGGACCGTGGATGAAAGCCCTCGATCCCAAGATACTCGAGGCGTACATGGCGGCGCATCGGCAGCCCACACTACCTGGACGAGCACGCTGCGTGCAGACCCGGCTGCCTCCCGGATACGTGCACAGTGTGGAAGCCAACGAGAAGCCTGGAACGGCTAGCCCAACGACAGAGCTGGAAGCAGCGGCCGTGAAGTGCACACGAGCGGGAACAGAGCCCCAGGTCATGCTGCGAGGCAAGCGTATCGTCGCACACGACATCACTAGATCGTCAGAGACGGTGAGAAGAGAAGAGGGGCTGAAGTGATGCTCGAGTGGGATAGAGCTCCATGTCGGCGACGCCCACGCACGGCACCGCGCCACTGCGGCCAATGTGCAGCCCTTGCTGCGTCGAAACTTGCAGACCGGTCAACGGGAGCCTGCCTCAGGTGTCCTGCTTGCCTGCCAAGTCGGCATCTCTGTTGTCTCCCCGAAGGGGCAACAGGGCAACGGCAAGCGCAGTGGGCACCCCGTCTCCTCCTGCAAGTATCCAGATGTTGTTGAACCGCGAGAGGATGGGGCTGTCATACCTGATGACGAGGATATTTCTGGGTGCCCGCCCATCAACAATAAGGAAGCACTGTCATAGAAAAGAAAACAAGAAAGAAAAGACCGAAAAAAAAAAGAAAAAAGAAAGCATGGGGGCCAACAACGGTGGAGAAAACATCGGGGATCCCGACAGAGGATAAGAGCGCATCGGACCATGGTAGCGCCCACTGGCTGTGTGAGTCTCGGGGACGTGCTACTATATCAAGGATCACTCGTCTCGTACTCTGTGGTTTGTTCATGCTACAGCTTACTATCCGTACTGTCAGCTAATGCTGCCTCTCCTAATCTGTACTCCGTAGAGCGAATGCTGTATCACATGTTGGTGCGTATTCCGCAGGTCGTGCCTTCCATCTTGTTTTTTTAAGATGAATATCGGGGAAGGAGCCAAGTACGGGAGCCAAGTATGGGAGCCAAGAGTATCAAGAGTAATACTCGTACGTCATCATTCGGACTCGGGTAGGCGGGTGTCGAGCAGGTGCCAAGCAAGTGTCAGGCGTATGACAGGTAATACACAGTCGAGATTGAAGGAGGAAAGAACGGCCCTTGCCTGTCACTGTGGCACTTGCCGCTGTACGGAGCACGGGGACGACGAGTAGTGATCGTGATCAGAGAATAGACCGTAGTGACTGCTCTACCACTCCATGCTCATCATCATTACGGACCATACTCGTAATACCATCTCTCCGCGCAGCGGATGCCGTACCTGTGCTCATATGTGGCATCTTGCCGTCCCCCGCTCGCTCGTCACCGTGGATTGCGTACCACTCTCCCCCTCCCCCGCCTCTCGCGATAATATATCCCTTGGACAGAGTATTGCTCGTACGAGTGTCGGTGCCTGCGCACTCGTCAAAGGATACAAAGCACGAATGCCCCAAAAAAGCAACGATAAATAATCAGCGGCCTCGGCATGGCCGAAACGCCATTACAGCTGCAGCGGCATTCCCTGCAAGGGAAGTGCCGTATCACTACGTCGTGTGTCGCAAACCCCTGCCTGTATAGAGAAGATGGATGGGCTCCCTATTTTTTGTTCCGAACGCAACTCCTTGCAGGGCCGTCACCGCTCCGACATGGACTCCTCAAGCGGTTGCATGACCTATGTATGGGAGGAGGATTCATTACTGCTACGAGTATTCTACCAGGTCCTCGGACCTATCAGAAAGTGTCAGAGTACAGATACACATATGCGGTACGTATCTTGCCATCTTCCCCCCCGACGATCCAGAAAGACCCTGTTTCGTGGGGCGTTATTTTGTCTTGGGGTCAATTTCATGGTTCCGGGACTATACGACGTATATTTCGACGGAAGAATACACACGATACATGAGCTGGTCATATCTGCAGTACGGAGTACAGAATACGTCTTGACTAATCAAGAAAGAAAATAAGATGGCAGGCTGGCAAGGGCTGGTCCCAAAAGACATGGGTCCCGCGACCGTATCCCCCCCCCGGGCAGTGCAACAGTGGAGGATGCAAAGATAAAAAATAAAAGAATAAAAGAATAAAAAACAAAACAAAATTGGGAGGATGACACAAGAAGAAAGCATTCTAAGACGCATTTGACAAAGTGACAATGCTCAGCAGCAGTTGGGTGATTTCTGGGGCTGAGGATGAGCTGCCGCCCATCATGTGACTTGACTGGAGCTGTCAGCGAAACCGCGGGAGGTTAGACGGATGACCGTCTGACCTGTCTGAGCTCAGAGTGGGTGAAGTGTGTGAGCTGGGGAGGGAGGCGGGGCAGAGAGGTTGAACAAGAGAAAACAAAACAAAAGCGCATTGCATGCAGGCCTAGGCCGCTTTAGGAGAATGTCCCGTGCCTACTGTCTAGGAGGAGCCTGGCATACTACGACGACGGAGGCCAGCATGAGGTCGCAGCACGCAGCACAAGACATTGTGAAAGTTCCCTGACCGCCGTCCATCACCTTGGACACTTGGCAGTAGCGATTACGAGCACCCGAGGGGACGGACGACTCCTGGGGGCACGCCGAGGATTTGCAAGAGAGTTGCCGCCGCAGCAGCCCAGCCCAGGACGGTGATGCAGAGCGTTGGTACGGGTTACTCTGTCGGTGCGTCTTCCCGCCTCCCCATGCGAGGCCTTCCTATGTCGAGAGAGAGAGAGAGTCGGGCCAGAGGTGCGGAGAAGATGCGTGCTCGCACGTACGGGGATGCCAACGGCCGACGACGGCAAGTGGTGATGGGATTCATATCCTCCTCCCCCCCCTTAACCGCGACCGACCCCGGCAAGGGCCCCGAGTGACCCTGCAGCCTGGGTTGGGTTGTCAAACAATTTGCGGCGAGATGCAAGATTGACTCTCCCTCATCGTACGTCGCAGAATTAAAAAAGAAAAGCAAGGCTTGAGCTGTCATGATGGGAAGCAAGTGACGAGTCGTTCTGTCAGGCCGGACGACACCTCGGCGGGAAAAGTCAAACACGAGCGGCTCTCCCTCCCTTCCACCTCAACGGGCAACAGAGTGGGCCATCCCAGTCGAGCCCACCCCTCCTCTCTCTCTCTCTCTCTCTCTCTCTCTCGCTCTCCCCACCAAGACGTCCTCCAAATTTCTCAGGGCTCAGGCACACACCCGGAAATCAGCTCGGACACACCCCACCCCTCCCTATCCCCCTCCCCCCTCCCCCCAATCGATGGGGTGTGCAGATGAACGGCCGGCCGAGAAGGGGGTGGGGGGTGGGGGGTGGGGGGGAGGCGATCCACCTCTGTGGATGCCTCATGTTCGGGACCCGATCTGACACCTGTGATCGTCGGGGCTATCCCCTGCAAAGGACTCCATCTTTACGAGCCAATCGCATCTTTACTTTGTAAAGTGACAAGCTCTCGCCGTCAGCGTGGTGAGTACGTACCGATGACTGCACGCACATGTACGGAGGTAGCAGCGTCAGAGTACGACTCGGTACGGAGTCGATACGGAGCATCAGTGGGACATCATATTACCGCTACCGGTATCCGTACGGAGCACGTTGGTGGTGGTGGTGGTGGCAAAGAGGGTGAGGGTAGTCAGCAGTCCTCCACGCCTAGGCGGCCGCTGTCAGGCAAGAAGGGAGAAGAGGAGGAGGGAAGAGAGAGAGAGAGAGAGAGAGAGAGAGAGAGAAAGAGGAGACGAGCTAGTGTGACGTGTGTAATGTATGTGTACATGTAAGGAGATATCTGCTTTTTTTTTGAAGCATGATTTCAGTCGCGAGTAAATCTGAATTTTTTTATTTTTTTATTTTAGATTTTTCTTTTAGGGTTACCGGGTGCGTGTCTTGTATTATTACATGATGACTGCATCTTGTTTGATCTTGACAGCCAGCCTCTCTTAATCTCAATAGCCGAGGTCGAAGCGTCGGATGTGTATGCTCTCTCATCTGACTCTTTTTCTCTCCCCCCCCCCTCTCTCTCTTTATTTTTATTTTTTCAAAAAGAACTTACTGTTTGGCCCTCTGTCTTCGGGGGGGTTTGGGGGTTTAGGGGTTGGGGGTTGACGTTGGCGAATATGACGGCGCATATGACCCGGGTTGGTAGACCGTAAGAGGAGAGCGTACATACATGCAGGAACCACGAGTCTTGTTTTCATTTTTATACTCATCTCTTTGTTTGATTTCTTCTGCTCCGCCTCATCTACGGATTACATATATATATATATATATATATATAACATACACGACTTGTTACTTCGTCGAGGATTCATAGTTCTGGTCAAGCAATACTCATCTTTAGGGATTACTTTTACATTCTCGTCAAAGAGAGAAAAAAAAAAAAGCCTCGGCGAGTAATGAATGTTCGTTGACGAGAAGCAAGCAAAGTCATACATGTGTACAGCTCGTCGTAAATTGTGCCCTTCACGCAAAGAACAGAAAGCTGAGGCTGACTCCCTCTTTTTATTTTATTCTATTCTATTTTATCTTTCTAGCCTCCAACGAGTACAATCTCTGTACTCGGTCTCCTACTTTTGTAGTCTCTTACTCTGTAGTCTACTACTCCGTAGTCTCACACTCTGTATAACATGTAGCGTCCTCCCCACGCCCCCCCTCCCCCCCCCCGCGGAAGAACTACCCCGGTCAGAAGAGGTTGACGGTATCATCCGCATCACGAATAAACAAGGTCTAAGGCCTACACATGTAGAAGGTCATATATCAGTGCTAGTGTCATCGTGACAGGCGCCGGTGGTCTTTCTTATTTATTTATCTTTTCTTTTTTTTTT